ATTTTTTTACAGTTTAACCCAGAACTTCGGAGATATCAAAAGAATTTTCAAAATGTCATTTTCTTAAATTACTGATAATGGAATAATATAGATATTTAGTTTTTAATCGAATAATTATATGGAGCTCTTTAAAACTGTTTCCACATTTTCATGGCTGTTTATTTATTTTGACAATTATTGAGCTTTAGGTATAGAAGTATAAAACCAACTGAAAAATTGTCAAGACAACATTTAAATGATTCTTTCGATATCTCCGAAGTTCTGGCTTAAAATGTACTATAAAACAAATCAAATAAATTTTCAAAATTAATAAAATCCCTGCTCAGATATCGACAGTTTTTGAACAGAATTTGATAACAAGAAATAGAAGAAATGAAAACAGACTTGGATTGGAACTCCAGCCATTATATTGTCAAACAAGTTGTTATTTTGAGATTAGATCAAGACATATTTTGAGCAAATTAAAAACATATCAAGAAATATTGCATATCAAATCAAAACATATCAAACCTACTGAGCATATAAAACAAAACTTAGCAAAACTGAACTACTGAGCATAGAAAGGCCATTTTAGAATTGAGTATCGGGTGAGGTGAAAAACTAATTCTTCTAATAACTTTTATTATAAAATTTTTGAATGTTCAATATGATTCGAGTTGATAGGTTTTGATATGATATGTTTGTTGATGTGTTTTCCCATTTTTCATCAAGATCTGCTTAAAAAAAGTATTTGAATTTTCCAATATCAACCTTGAAATAATGTCAAATAAAATTTCATTCAATGTGTGAAGACCTCGGTAATATTTTTCATAATTGTATTTGGTCTTTGATCGGACACAATTCTCGAAGAATGAATTTTTAATTTTGTCAAGTTTCATCCCTTTCTTCCAAAAATGTTCTCAAGAATTCAAATATGTTGTTTTTCCGACCTGATATAAAATCTCTTTTGCCCCGACTGTTCCTGAAAATGAATGAATATTCAAGGAACATGGAACATCAACATCAACGGAGCCTCCAATCATCTTTATCTGAAATCAATCCCAAACTTCAGAAACACACAAAAAAATTTATTTTACATTTTCTATTTTTTACAACATTTTGAGAAAAAAATATATTTACATGGTATACAAGGTATAAGTTTAACAAAAGTATAAAAGATGAACACATTTACGGTACATGAACAATTAACATTAATATGAGACTCGTTAGTTTTTTCCCCTTATTTTTCATGGAAAATTTTCTGATTATTTTGCATTGAGTATTTGCATTTTCCTAATCAAAATAATTCATTTTTAAGTCTTTCTGTTAACTCCATACTGGAATTTCTAAATGTTTTAAATTTTAGGAATTTAAAAATTCATTTACACAGTAAAAAAATAAAAATTCTTTTTAAATTGGCAAATGTTTAGATCTATTAAAAGTAAAAAAAAAATAATTTCCAACGTACATATTTGCACTGAATTGGTTTCCTGATCTTCCGAGTCTAGACGTTTTATCTCTGAGCATAGTCTAGAAAAATAGTACAAACTTTTTAAAAAATGACAACGGACGGACATAAATCCATGCCAAGAGATGTTTAGGTTTAAAATTTTATTTTATTATACATCTGCAGAACGGCAAGCATCACATAGCTCCGGGATATTCGACTCCGCCTCACAGCTACTCGCCTCCGACATCAGAATCTTAGACTCCGAGCCGGAGATTTTAGTCTCAGAGTCGGCGATTTTTGTCTGGGACCCAGATTTGCTCTTGTCGTTCCGAAATCTATGAATCGTCTTTGGCTCGGTTCCAAAATATCTAAATAAATAAAAAAAATTAACAAAACGTGAATATTTCTTTTTTTTATTTTGTATAATGGGTTGAAGCTTATTTTGCAGTAAAAACAATCGTGGAATTCTCGCAGTCATCTTTTTCTTTCTGAACAGTGAACATGTGTAGATAAATAGCAGTTGAAGTTTAAATTGCAAATTACAAATTCCATTAAGCTGAATGAAGAACAAAAACGAAATTAATTTCAGTTTTCAGGTTCTCATTGGATGAGATGCGTAAATGCGTAAGGCTGAAAATAAAGATAATACTGTAAAAGATGCATCTAAAATCTTCTAATAAACACCCATCTTCTCACACAAAAATGATAAAATACTTTCTAAAATTATTTTTATTCCAGACTGGGAACCCAGTTTTGCACGGAAAATCTTAACTTTCATTTAAATCAAAACTGAAGACAATTTTAAGAAATCTAAAACATGCCTGTGGTTCTTAAGACCAAATAAAAACAGAGACAGACAGATCTTATTACTTTGTATAGATATAAATAAATAAATAAACATCAACCTTCATAAAGTTGTAAATACGCGGAAACAAAAACATTTAATGATAAAATATTTCTGACCTATCACCAAAGTTTCCTATCCCTGGTAGAACATGAAACCTCTCATTAATCTCTGGATCTATAGCACTAGTCACTATCTTCACGTTAGGGAATGCGTAGGCTATTGTGTGAACTCCTGAAAAATATACAGATATTTAATTATTTTTTTTTATAAAATGTAATTTTAGAGGAAAAAACTATTTATAAATAAACAGTTGTGCGACCAAAGTGATCAAAATGATAATTTATTTTAAATGTGAGCTGGGGATAATGATTTCTAATGCGTTGGAATAGAATAAACGATGGAATTTTGCCATTAAAACATCCAAAAATAATTAAATAAGGATCTAGTGCTTGATGCCTTAATTCTAGTATTAGCACAAGGTACGCCGGAATCAATTTAATCCTTAGGACTGCACAAGATCCCAGAATTCAAAAGTTTTAATCTGTGTTGACTCTAACCTGATTCTGCCATAAGTAGAGAAACAAGATTAATATTCTCCTCTGGAACCTCGTGATCAAGTAGTACACGGATAGCCATCATAGCTGCAGCTCCAGTAGCAACAGTAGCATCCATCAGAATTACCTTAATAAATATTCTTAAAAAAAACACTAACTAATGAAAAGAAATAAATAATAAAAAGAATTAACCAAAAATGCCCATATAAGACCAGAAATGATCTGACAATACCTAAAATTACCTAAAAAGACTAAATATGACTAAAAATGACAAAAATGACCTAAAATGACCCGACGTAAAAAAAAATGGCGTTAAAAATCATGAAATGAAATTGCATAAAAACCATGAATTATTACGTGATTAATGACATGATTTATGCATGACCCAACAGCAATTATACTTTTGAAGAAGATTGGAATTATAAATATAATTAAAAAAACTACTCTCAGATTATCTAAGGTATTTGGGGAATTTCACAGATTCCACTTTTTTCAAAAAATTTCCAATTTCCAAAAAAGACTGGATAACTGGGAAATTCCCCAAATGTCTGGGTATTTGGGAAATTTCCCTAATAGCTAGGCATTTGAGAAATTTCCTATAATTGAAAAATAAACCACCCTCTGATTCCTTAAGGAATTTTGGGAATTCCCCAGATTCCCAAAATACCCAGCTATTTTGACCATTTTCTCAATTGCTGTCACTCCCTCAATTTATCATATGCATTACGACATGAATTACGACATAAATTATGACATGAATTATGCCATGAAATGACATGAATTATGCCATGAAATGACATGAAATATCATGTAAATACATATGAAATGAAATCAGATGAAATCAGATGATCACACATCACATCAAAGCGAATGTGTAAAACCCAAACTAAAAAGTCGAATGTAAAAAAACTACCACTAAAATTAAAATATTCAAAATCTAACAAAATTAAATTCAAAACAATCCCAATCAAATGAATTTATGAATAAACCTGATAATCCTTGATATCTTTAGGAAGACGAAGGTAGTAAAGTTCTGGTTCTCCAGAGTCCCAGTTAGTCTGGATCAAGATCTTACCAATCCTAATTATATCAAAATCAAAATCAAAATCAAAATCAAAATCAAAATCAAAATCAAAATCAAAATCAAAATCAAATCATCAAATCAAAAATCAAAAATCAAAATCAAAATCATCAAATCAAAGATCAAAAATCAAAATCAAATCAAATCAGATGAATTTACTAAATTAAGATTGAAGAGAGTTATTATAGTTTGTAGATGTTTACATTTCTTGATACCAGGATAAGCTAATCAATTAAACATTAAACAAATCAAAAATCAAATCAATTAATTTACCAAATATACACTAACCCAAGGAGATATTGAATAGAAGGCGGGGGCGATAGGGTTTCCGTACACTTTGCTGAGACGTTTTTGGACTAGTTCTTCAGCAGTCCAAAAACGTCACAGCGAAGTGTACGGGAACCCTATCGCCCCCTCCTTCTATTCAATATCTCCTTGCATTAACCTAATATCCAAAATATCCTTGTACCCAAGACCTAAACTAATATTCTAGCAGACCTCTGAGTGTACCCAAGACCTAAACAAACCTAATATCCTTGCAGACCTCTGAGTATATCCAAAACCTAAACTAACCTAATATCCTTGAAGACCTATGAGTGTATCCAAGACCTAAACTATCCTGATATCCTTGCAGACCTATGAGTGTATCCAAGACCTAAACTAACCTGATATCATTGCAGACCTATGAGTGTATCGAAGACCTAAACTAACCTAATATCCTTGCAGACATATGAGTGTATCAAAGACCTGAACTAACCTAATATCCTTGCAGACCTATGAGTGTATCGAAGACCTAAACTAACCTGATATCCTTGCAGACCTATGAGTGTATCGAAGGCCTGAACTAACCTAATATCCTTGCAGACCTAGGAGTGTATCGAAGAACTAAACTAACCTGATATCCTTGCAGACCTATGAGTGTATCGAAGACCTAAACTAACCTGATATCCTTGCAGACCTCTGATAGCGCTTGTTCCATGGTTTCTCCTGCTCTGAGTATAGAAACTCCGCAGATCTTCTTCACAGCACAACGACGACCTTCATACTTCATTCCCTAAAGTAAAATTAATTTTATTTATGATCGTCTCTGAATGCTACGGGATGATGGTTTCCTGTTTGTTAAAAAAAAATTTTTAATCTTTTTATTGATTTCTTTCTTTAACATTAATGTCATAGCTTTGGCGAAAATTTTCTTTAAATGCTAAAAAAAATCTACTTAATTGGCATTAATTGTACTGTACTTGAGGTGCATCAAATGTACATAAAGTAGACTGTACTTCGGAAATGGAACCGAGCGCATTTTTTCGTTATTAGGCATAATTTTGAAGTTCAAAACGGCATTTTAAAGAAAAATGTTTCATCGTCGACCCCTTTTTCTGGAAGTTGTACTTTCTAGGAGCTCTTTATAACACAATGCAACGACATTTTCTAAAAAGCATGAACACACTCTTTAAAGAGACACCTATAAATAAACTGTACAGTTACTGAGGTGTTTTAACTATATATAACCGGACCTGTAACTGAGCTGTACATAAACTGTACATGAGGTTGATCGACTGTACATAAAATGTACAGTTACTGAGATATATTAACTGTACATAAACTGTACATAACCTGACCTGTAATTAAGGTTTATCAACTCATAAACTGTACATTTACTGAGGTACATAAACTGTAGAAAAAATTACAGTTATTGAGGTGTATGAACTATACATAACCTGAACTGTGACTAAGGTTTATTAACTGAGCATAACTGTATCTGAGGCATCAACAATACTGTACTGAAGTATATCAACAATACTGTACCCGAGGTATTTCAACCGTACATAAACTGTACTGGAGTGTATGAACATTACTGTACCCAAGGTATTTCAACTATACATATACTGTACTGAAGTATATCAACAATACTGTACCCGAGGTATTTCAACCGTACATAAACTGTACTGAAGTGTCTCAAAAATACTGTACCCGAGGTATTTCAACTGTACATAAACTGTACTGAAGTATATCAACTTATGCAGGCAAAAATTTTCTTTGAATGCTAAAAAAAACTTTATGCTACTTTGTTGGCCTTTGATTGTATTTACTGTACATAAACTGTACTGTACTTGAGATTTAGCAACTGTACATAAACTGTACCTGAGGAGTATCAACTGTACAACTCTCAAACTTTTGTAAGGCGAGACTGTACTCAATTACCAATCTGATCAATCTTAACAAAAAATATGATTATAAAGCTACGATCAGTTTCAATGAAGCTCTGTGCAGTGTAAACTGTACAGTGTAGTGTACGATTGCTGTCTTTCAGGGACCGAATTTAATGAATTGGAGAGCCTGTTCAAATCCTAGATCTTTTAATTTGAATCAGGAGTTCAGAAATAAAACCAGCGGTTGGCAGTTTGGCGACCTTATAGCTCAAATTCGTTAAGATCTGATTATTTCAGTAAAATTCGATGAGTTCCTTCTTATTTCAGCTGGAAATTTCCAAATTAGACATTTGCCGCATTCATTACATTTTATTTGACTTAAGAAAAGCATTTGATGATAAATTTCTATGAAATACAGATTTTGTAGACATGTAACTCCGAATAATTGAAGAAAAAAAACCAAGATTAAAAATTAATTTGAAAATCTGCAGCTGTGATTGTGAAGGGACTTTTAGGATTTGACCTCAAACTCAACAGATCTTCACGGATCTGAATTTCTTGATAGTTTCCATGGTTCAGGTTCAATTTAAGGGATCAAAAAGGAAATGAAGCATCAACCCCCCCCCCCCC